GTGCCTTGGGCCCTGCGCTGCCCCCGCCTGCCAGGGCCAGCCTGGGCGCTCTGGCGAGTCTGAGTTCCCGGCTGTGGCCGAGCTGGGTCAGGGGGGCCCTTTAGCAAGTTGGAGAGACAGCGCTGGAGAGACAGCGTTCCTCTGCCATGCCCTGGGCGGGAGTCCAGCCGCCCGCCTGGGCTCTCTGCTGCTGGGGCGCTGCGCAGGCCCGCTGGGACGCCGTTTGCCCTCAGCAGCTGCCGAGGTATGTGGCAACCTAGCGACGGCTGCACAGCGGCCTGAGCCTGCACGCTCAGACAGCGAGAGCACCAGCCATGCCAAGGGAACCCCAGGCCAGCCTGCCAAGACCCCCGCAGTCTGGCGCCCAGGCCCCGGGTGGTTCCTGCTGGAACCAAGCACCAGGTGCTCTTGCGGTTGGGCCAGGAGTCCCAGCCACAACAGAAAGGACTTAGGGACACTGTCCCCTTCCTGCTCTCCCGGGGGCAGTAGGGAGTGGCGCAGCGAGGGCGGGGCGCGAGGGGAACTCTGCCTGTCACCTCACAGGGCCAGGGCCCAACGGGGCCGTGGATTCGCTTCCAGAGTCCGTTAGGGAAAGCTGCTTCTAGGAGTCTCACCACGGCATTGCTCGCAGGCAGCGATGGGCTCTGCGGCTACAGCGCTTCCTTAGCACCAGGCCTTTGCCAGCGCCCGTACAGCAAGCCCCAAAGGAAAATCGCTTCAGTCAGGACCCGCGAGCAATTCGTAAAAGCCACTATCCCTAACGGACTCTCCCGCAGCCCCGCTGGGCCCGGGCCCTGGCCCTGTGGGCTGACATTGCTGGCACGAAGGGAATCGGCGGCACTGCCCCGGGGGGAGGGTGACACAAACAGGCCTCTGCTGGCCACACGCTGCCAGCTCGTAGCTGGAGGGGAAAGTCTGGTTAGGGTGCGGTGCTTCGAGGGGCACCGGAAGGCCCCGCCCAGCCCCAGCTCCTACCTGGTAGGTACCTGTCGTGGCTGTACTCGTGGGGGTGCTGCATGTGGCTCTGGGTGAAAGGCTGGTTCCCAAAGAGGTTCTCGCTGTGCAGGTTGTGGCACAGTTTCTCCAAGAAGCGCAGGACGTAGGTGATGCTGTTTACTGCCGGCAGGTTCAGAGTGTGCTGTTCCCGGTCAAACACGGCTGGGGACAGAGACAGAGACAAACCCGTAGAGCCCAGGCTGCACAGCAGCTCCGGTGCCGCCACCGCACGTGGCTAACAAAAGCAACCAAGAGCCACTTACTGCGGGGGAGCGCTCCTCTCTGGGACAGGCCAGAACCAGTCTGGGCACCAAGCCTCAGCTGAGAATCGCTTGGGCCTGGAAAGCGTCACTTCCAAGGCAGAGTCTGGGCATGCCAGGACTGGCCTGGGCCCTGGAGAAACACGGCCTCGCAGTGCGTGCTCCTTGCCATGGGCTGGGGAAGGGGCCTGGGCTATTTCAGGGCAAGGGGGTTGCATGAGAAACAACAGAAGTTCCCTCCCTGCCCGCACTCCCCCCCGGTGATCTCTGGGAGAGTCGGGGGGGCAGCCCGGCCTGTGCTTTGGCTCACTGCGGTGGCGACCGGGAGAGCTGTCCCGGGACATTCGCTCTCAAGACACTGTCGGGCGCTGTCACTTGACCCCCCAAGCCCTGGGGCAAAAGAGAAAGCGGAGCGCTCTCCGTGCCCTCCTTGGTCGCCCATCGGGGGGAGGTAGCAGCTTTTCCACGTGTGAGGGGCAGGCAGGGGAAGTGGGAGGCGGGCGCAGCTGACTTTGGGCTTGTCCGCACGGTTTCAGGGCTCTGTGAATTCTGGGATTTTTCTCGGGTACGCTCTGGGTTGTCTGCCGTAGGGCACTGGGGTCCCAGCAACAAATTCCCACGACTCCTCTCATCACCCCAGGAGTCGGTGCCATTTTCAACCCGCTGTCGCCGGCACGGAAGGACATGGCTGTGCCCTGCGGGCCAGGCTGCCACGCAGGCATCTGCGATCGCACATCCGGGCACTGCCATGCTGCGGAGCCAGTTTTCCCGGGGCTCTGCCTGGAGAGGGAAGGACGAGGCTCCAGGCCTGGGGTGACCCGCAGCAGAGGCAGAACTTCTGGGGGATGATGGGCTCATCCTGAGACAGCTGCGAGGAACCGGCAGCTGCAGGGGCATCGTGCCAACAGGCGTGCGGCCTGAGTGTGGAGAGGAGCGTGTCCAGCAGCACCCTCGACTGGGACCAGGCCAGACTGACCACTTGGCTGCTGGGGGAGCAGCTCCCAGGGAGGTGTGCGCTGGCACCGGGGTCACACTGCCCGGCCATGCTGATGGATTTGCATGGCCAAGGTTCCTGAATTGTTCAGGCCTCTGCCACATGCTTATTCTCTGCACCCTTCCCAGGCCTCAGAGCTACCCTCAAGCCAGGACCCTGCCCCCTGGTGCTCCTAGGCCTGGCTGAGCCCCACGGCCGGTTCGCCGATGCTAAGGGGTGTTCTGGAGATCCCACGAGCCCAGCAAATGTGCTACGGACAGCACTGGCGCAGCAATTCCCCGTCGGCACGGGCGCCGCAGCTCCCCAGGCTCACTGGAGACCTGGGCAGGCACAGGGAACGGTTCCAGCAGCCACATGACACTGAGTACGGGCGGGAAAGGCTGAAAAGGAGAAGGTGTAGCATGACAAAGTGGGAGGCTCTGG